GCCTTATCTATGATATTATTATTTCTAACTTATCTAAGACTCAAGTCCTCAATAAACTTTTAATATGAAATAGCCTTTAATTATTTAATTGGAATAGTGTTTTGTCACTCCGGAACGTGTAGATTTCGTTCGAAAACTGAAACTGAAAAACGTTTACATTTCATGATGTTTCATTTTCAGTTGTGTAAATGCAGTGCTACCAGAATTGTTGATGTATAATCGAATAAATATTATTAAGATTTAGATAAACAGATTTGTCTCTAGCAATCGAGACTGAAAAGCTTAGTATCATTTCTGATCGATATTATCTTCTCCGTAGATACGTGGCCCTGTTAATTTAGTGATAGAATATAATGTTTAATTAGTTTTCTTCGCTGTTACGTTTTGAGTGAAATAAACTGGGAAGTTTAGTTAGTGAAACGTTAAATTCTCACATTAATAGGTCTGTTATTTTGAATCACATGAAACCGGGCGAGCGCAAAACTTGTGCAAATATCACGCTCCGCTGAATCCGCCCATACAGCTTGGAATAAGCGTTAATTTTCACAGATTTCAACAAATTATTCTATGCAAACGAACATCTGCTAGAGTTCTAGTGATGTGCTAAATGTATCGATATAATTTACAACACTTCTTCACCCACAGCTTAAGTTGAGAGATGCCTTAAGAAAGTACGTAGAGTTTGACATGGGCCAATTATTAAGAAAATGTTTTTCGATATTTTTGTGACATTAATTCAGCCGTCTCTACATGCCAGAGACGTATTGCAGATAGTTTAATATATTTATATATACCAATTAAACTATATAATGTATTCATAGTTCTTGTTCATAATAACTAAGTAATACAATTTAACAAAATGTTAAAATTACATTACGAAAATGCAAAAAGATGTTAAGATAAACATCATGTTCTATACACATTTTGACTATCTTTTAATAAGGTGAAAGAAATAAGCTATAAAGGAACTCATTTGAAAAAGTTAATATAAGGAAAGAACAAGGGAAACGTTCTAACTAAAAGTTTTATCGATGGTAGAAATTTTTGGGTTGCGTAACCTTGGCTGACTAATATTAAAATAATTTTCATACACAAACTACATATTTGAAACTGTGTCTCAGTTAGTCAGTCTTTAGTTTCTATTGTTATTAATCAATACAAACTTGTATTAAGTAGTTTTAGTAAGGTATATATGTATATATATGTACGAGTATTAACTTGAACAGTGCCGGAGGTAGGTTATGAAATTGGTGGTGCACTTTACTCAGTTACTTGTCAAATATTACCATAAGGAAATTCAGCAAAACAACAATTGACATAAAATAGGTTTATTTTTTAAACATTGAATCAATGCGATGACATTTTTTTGAAGCGAAATATTCAATCAATTTTTTGTTAAAATTCGTCAAACATCGGGTGCTCTCGGCAACCTTCGGTCCGCTCGTTCGGCGCTCGAAAACCGATTAATTTCTAAGTACATTTCTATGAACCATCTTTTGTTTAACGCGTCAGGCATTTTGACTTGTACCTCATACAAGTTATATTAGCAGAATTTGTGAAGCGCTCAAACTCTTTCACCATAATTGGAAATAATTGTTATGTACGTATTTGTATGTTTATATAATAAATATTAAAATGGTTAATTAAAAATAAATATGAAGTAAAATTTTAATTTTTAAGTGTTTTGATTGGTGGTTCAGCGCGCGAGCGCACTTAAGGCCTTACCGCCTCTAAACTTGAATATGAGAAATTTTAAGTTTTTTACATAATGATTGACTTGATTGATAGAATATACTCGTTATCGTGTTAAAAGTAAAAGAAAAAATTTGATAATGAGAATCTATCGATAAAGCAGCACATCTCCATCGCGAATAGTTGAAAGTAGCCGACCGATACCATTTTGACTTTAATTTACTTCTGTCGCTTCATTAGATAAATTTAAGCCAATCTAAGGCGACATTTTGCCTCTCCATCTTTTAATGTATATGGTGAAATCTTCAACCCAAAAAATAAAATAACAGGGCATTTTGATTAGATATTAGTGCTGTAGTTGTCATAAAAAAAGGCATATAATATCCTAAAGAAATGAGCTCTTTAGTTAATTTTAGGCTCGATCAAAAAGGCTAATGAAATATTCATATTGTTTCCAATATTTTAAAACTTTAGAAGTTGTGATGCATTATTTATTATTATAGATTCGTCTTACATCTGCTCTGAAGACGTTACGTAGGTACTTCTTTGTTTTTTTATTTCAGTGTACTGGCAACCCTATCCTCGTTTCCTGTCAAAGGCTGATATTTTTTCTATATTGAAATAGAATATCTGCAAAATACAGTAGATATAAAATACTAATTTAAATAAAACATTATAAAAGATCGAAACACGTAAAATATATTCAAGTCAATATTGTCTGCAGTTTCAGAAGTTTCTCGTTTCAAACCGTTAAAATTATTAATTTAAAATGTACTCTCGTAAACCACAGACAATGCTAACCTAATTATTTATTTTACATTTTAACCGTTTAAAGTGTTCTATTTAAAATACTCAAGTGTTTATTAGTTAACCTTAAAAGCTTAGTTAAAACTGCGTCTAAAGTTGATCTCATTATCGAAAGCCAGCGCCATGTAGCGGAAGCTTCTCATACATCATTAAACATTAACTCCTGCGTCGCTGATTTTCAAAGCGTTCTCTAATTGTGTCAGACCATTCACTCGATTCGCATTAGTTATAGACTAGGTAGTCTGAGAGCCGTTGAACGTAATTTAAATTTAGATAAGCAATTGTTTTTTGTTTCTGTGAACTACTGAATACCTTTTAACGAAGTTGTTTAGTAACTTATAGTCTAAGAGACAAATAGGAATTCTTATACGTAATTTCTATTTTTTTAAACATTTTTAAAAGTCATCCGCATCCTTTGTTCTGCGGTAATCTTGGTAAATAAATCGTTGGAGTTTATATATATTTTTTTCGTGTAATCATTTTGCTATGCATAAACTACATAGTAATAAATAATAAATTGCGCTACACTTTTGATGTTGTTCAACTTATTTCAAAGGAAATCTTTGAAGGAATCTATGAACAAAGTAAAGCACATAGATTTTTTTAAAATAACTAAATAATAATTAAGTTGTGTCATTCTCTTAGACTATTGCACATTCATAGCTTTGAGCTAATTCATAGTAATCTAAATGCTTAGTATCAATTTAATTTCACGTTGATTGAACTTAATAATTAATTAACTTAGTAATTAACTATTTAGACTTTAGTATATACCTATAAGTAAAACCAGCAAGTAAAAGCCTATATAATATAAGCTATTAGTAAAAGTCTATAATAAAAATGAAATTTCGTTAACCATTGATCAAGGGACGAACATTTATTTGTCTGTTTCACGAATTCTTTTATTTCATCCATCCACAATTATTATGCTTCCTCGGGATTCAAACAAAAAATCTATAGTCGACAACTCCTACAAATTTAAATAAAATACTTTAACGGTTTAAAACGCGATATGTATTATTAAAAATAATGGATCTACAGCCCGACACTTCACTAATATATATCTTGTTTAAACCGTTAAAGTGTTTTCTTTAAATGTGTACAACTCGCGTAAAGCGACAGTATTTGACTCCTTCAAAGACACACATCACATACCGTATAAGAATTTATCTCATTTCTCCAGCCACCCTTCCTCGGTTTATTACAATTTTGGGATAATTACTTCATCTAACGCAAAAGTAAATACTGCCAGCAACAAAGGCTGATAAAGTTGGGAGAGATATTATCAATCAGTATGAGGCTTAGGGCAATAATAAGTGACCTATTTATTAGTAATGTTACAGCTAATCGCGGGAATAGGTAAATTTGGTAATTTCAGTCATTAAAATATATTTACACGAAATTCACACAGATCATATTCAGTGATAGATTTAAGGTAAGTAAATGGTAACTTCTATCACTGTCCAAACAATCTTGGTCAAATAAATAAATATGTGAAGGCGGTCAAATAATGAACAATGGCATTGGTGGCATTGGATGGCATTTAAATTAAACTTTTAACAATTTATTACAGGAAATGTAACACCCGTGACCACGTTTCCTGCAAATCCTCCGTATCGTTGGGTTGTAATTAAAATAAATTGTAAATAAGTAAACTAATATATTTCGTGTTTTAAACCATTATAAGAGTTTTATTAGAATGTAAACTACACACGGAAACTTCACATTGATTACTTTACAAATATTGTTAGTATTTATCAAATCAATTTGGACATATTAATACGATATCTAGTAGAGCTTAAATGAAAAACTTTAACCCAGATAAGCCTGAAACTAAAATTTTCTGAAAATTTTGAAAAAAGTTACATTATTTAGTTTATTAGATCTTATGCAACATAAAAAAAAATATGAAAAAAAAATAAAGTGTAAGGCTTTCAGGGAAACAGCCGTCCTATATGTAGGACAGTAGGATAATAAGAGGTAATAAAAGACCATTTATGACACAACAGAATGTAATCAAAAAGTGTAGTTTATTAGATAACTATTGATTATATTACCAAATTTACTAAATGAACACTATTTATGAATGATATGTTTCAAAACACTTGACACACACTCCAACATCACATTTCTTGCAACGTGTCAAACATTTTTTGTGACATTGACGACAGTGTGTTTGCTTCGATTGAGGAATAACCAGATGATTCATTTGGTCTTTACGACTATCAGCATGTTCATGATGGGAGGGTCGGCTAGGCCCTCTTTTGGCATTTTTTCTGTTTGATTCAATCAAAGCAATTGCTACCCTTGCAAGCCAAGATGATCCAGTTTTCCATGATTTATTTTATATAACTGCCATGCATTATGTTCGGCAAGATAATATTGTGTGAGCAGCATGTACCATTTCTTACCTCGTATACCAATTCGGTAATGTGAAATATTTTATAGACCGATCCACTCCTCCCATATATTTTTATTTATGGACACCATATGTGGTTCTTCTATGACAATGTTTCTCTTCTCCATGCGTAGGTACGCCTACGTTTAGTTCGACCTGTAGAATCAGAAGGTTCTTCTTTTGTATCACTCACCATAATCTGCCCTTGAATCATTACTTCAGCCGGTTGAAGCAGAATGTTTCGTGGCAAATTATTCAAAGTTACATTATCTTCTTCATTCGAATCTTCGTCAGTGAGACAGTCAGGATCAACAGGAGGAGGTAGAATACATATCAGTCGTTCTCTATAATCTTCCTCATTATCAGAAACAATTTCTAAAGCATCTAAAATTTCATGCGCAGCTAACGGTCTGTAAAGAAAAAGTTGTATTATTGTACTAAAATCATGTATATTATCCTACTGTCCTATATATAGTACGCTAGTATTTGTTACAAGTTATACGTAATTTATTTATATTATTTTGCTAGAATATTTATTTAGTACAAAGTTAAGCTTATCAACTAATATTAACACAGAAAAAAACAACTCACGAGTAAAATATAACTTTTTTAATACCTGTCATTTGCCATGTCTGCAACCAGTTTTATTACACACTTATAAGGTAAAATTTAAGGTAAAAACGGTTAAAAAAACTGTCTTTTTATTTTTTCTAATAAAGCTGAACGTTTCTTATTGCAAATATAAGACTAAATAATCTTAGATAAAGAGGGTATTCTGATATTTTTTTATTTCTATGTCTAAATATAGGACAGTAGGCTTATCTGGGTTAACAAGGGGGTTTCCCCTTGACCACGGCAGCTGCAAACCAACCAAAACTTCAGGCAGTAGTTAAAATAATTTTCAAATAAATAAATAAATAAAGTGTTTTATTTGAATGTGTACTACTCGCGTAAGCTACAGAGAGTAAACTAGTAGAGTTGTTTAGATCTAGTCATTTTGAAGTTCAGCGCTTCCCGCTATCTGCAACATGGACATTGATGAATCTAACATTGTCCCCGGGGCAATTAGCCACGACTCGACTGGAATCCCAATTGGAAGTGATGGATTTGTTACATTATTGAACCAATAATTTCACTTCACGTTTTCGTTGCGTTTGTATTCAAAAGCTTTAATGTTTATATGAAAATCTTTTTAAACCAACATCTTGGAATGTTGATCAATTGAATGGAGAATGGCTTTAGATAAAAAAAAATATCATGTTTAATGATATGAAAATATATCAGTTAACTTATGTATACAATATATCTTAACTATGGCCCGATGTTTCGGATGCCTTGCAACATCCATGATAACGGAGGGACATAGTTATAACAAATTAATAAAATAAGTTAATTAATTTCGCATATTAAACCGTTAAAAATGTTTTATTTAAATGTGTACTACTTGCGTAAACTACAGATAGATTAAAGTTTACTATTAATGCAATTTTCGTGGGATTATTAAAAAATGGACTCACACGTTCTATAAACGGAAAATGTTTCTGATTGTAAAATTTATTGTACTGTTTTATCAATAAATGATTAACAAATATAGTGCATACCGTGCTAAGAGCCAACCCTCCTTGTTCGATGTCTTATTGAAAATTCCAGCAATTGCGTTTCAAAGACCGTGGCCTTTATTACGTGGTTTCAGCGTGTCGGGGAACGCTGGGATAATTCTATTTCATCTTAATTTGTACGAGAGGAAATACTTCTAAATGTAACAAAAAAATATTTTTTCCTGTTCAGGCGTGCCGGACACGTAGCGTTTAACGACAATGTTCGTTTCGTTCTTACAGGCCGTTGGTAATGTTATCAAACTAAATTCTAAATTCATTAACCCGCGTGCGTGATCCAGTAGTTGCTCTATATCAAGTTGGTTTTGGGAAGAATACAAACTTCGATATAGAAACACATAAAAACAAGTAAAACACATACAATTTCGTATTCGACTTGGTTCGACAGGAATTTGAACCCAAAGCTCCTCTAGCGTTGTCACAATCCAAATGCTATTAGCAATTGAACCACAGGTGCGGTAACATACAAATATACCCCCACATAAGACACAAAAGTGATATTTATCCCCATTTAAATAAGAAATAATACCTCACTAACTGACATTTTAAATTCCGCGCAGGGAAATAATCCATCAAACTTGCAATAAAGCCGATAAAATGTATGAAATTGCCACAAACATGTGATGAATGATATGAGACATATTGTTATCAAATTCACGGACGGACAAAACGATTCCTGAAGGGTATTAAGAATGATGGACGAGCGCTCACAGATCACTTATGATTAAAAGTGTAACTTTTCATACAGTGAATATAAGAAAATGTACGCACTTTAAGAGTATGACGCAAAGTAATGGATTTCTTATTTCTTCTTTACTTATTACTTTGCAGCGTTTATCTCTGACACTGCTGTAATGATTATTAAATATTACATATAAAATCATTAACTACCTTTAGAATATATTTAATTTCCGATGAAAAATTATATTATAGTGAAACAGAACAACCTATACTAATATATAAAGCTGAAGAGTTTGTTTGTTTGTATGTTTGAACGATGTTTGAAATTCTTTCTGTGTTGGTTAGAACGTTTATTGAGGAAGGCTATAAAACATCCTTGTGCCTTGTGAGTAATACAAGCGAAGATACAGCGAGAAATGTAAAAAAAATGGTAAATATTATAATTATTACGGGTTTCCGAGCTTTACGCTACAAATACGGTTCAATATACCAAAAAAATGTAGTATACAGGAATTAATAGCCTAATTTCATAAAGAAGAAGAAGGAGGAGTTTGCAAAAACGAATTTGGATGCACAAAATAACGATTCTCACGGACGAAGTCGCTGGCGCAGCTAGTGTAATATGAAATTATTACTCAAATGTTTTTTAAATTTTTTACTGTAACACAAATTTTTAAGAAAATCACTGTTTATGAAATTATTATTAAATATTATATATAAAGCTATTCACTATTTTTATGATTTATCTTATTGCCGGTGAATAAATAATATTTCATTAAAACAAAACAGTTTAATATTAAACTATTAGTCAAATGTTGGAAGTATTGTCGTTTATTCTTATCCTCTAACACTAAAATTCTAAAAAAAAAACAGTTTATAAAGAGAAAAAGGCGTTTAACGGCTTTCAGGTGTGGTTTAATTTCCCGTGACAAAAGATGGCGCTATTTACAATTACGAGTGCCTTAAGAAACCTCATAATCCTTTACGACAACGGAATTACAGAGTTTTAAAGGTGTTATAATGAGGTAAGCCAGTAGACGCCATTAAAAAAGGTTATCTAATACCGGTGTTAATTAGACGACGGATAACGACTATTCAAATCTAACTCAAATTAAAAACTCGCGGCCCAGTTGTTATAGCAACAAGTTCTTTGGGTTTTTATGAAAGGAAAATGTGGAAAATTATATTGAAATTCAAATGAATGGATTTAGAGGAACGTTGGGGATACTATCTCTAGGGTAATATTATTCGGTCTTTTAATAATTACCCATCTGCGCCTCTCGCGGCTATCAATGTTGGTGCACTAATTATGTATATATTTATTAAAAAACGACTTATATCAAAAATCTATTTATAGTAAAAGAAAATTACGATACGAACAGGACTCAAACCATCATCACAGCGTTCGTGCTACTGCTTTAACCAATTGGGCTACAGTGTGATTGTGAGAAATTTTTATTTATTTCATTTTTATTATTTATTTCATTTATTCAAGGCGTAAGTTGTACATGTAGAAATGACTCGGCCAATACTAACCTGCAGTCGCGTAACAAGAAAGGCGGAATTCCATCTGGTTGAAGCTTTTTGGCTTCAGCCGAGCGAGTGCAACTTTTACATGCGCCAGCGACAGTTGGGGTACTTGAACGCCAGCACTACCGCCACCGCTCGCCCTCACCGCTTCGTCACCGTCGAGCCTCGCTGATGCGTTATTGTAAACAGAATAAAAATATTTCGCAAACCCTTTCGCACATTCCGAATGCGATAACTGCAAACAGTTTTTACAATACTTTCGTTTTTGTGCAGACAATTTTTTGTCCCGATATATTTCCAAAAAGATTTACGGTTTTATATCGGCCGTATACCATTCGGGATAGCTAAATTTATGATTTTTCGCGTTAGACTTTCTAGGCATATGCTTATCTAGAATGTTATTCAAAATATCATATAAGACTGCGTGGGCTTCCTCCGGGTTCCGCATATTATAAACGCCACCTCAATCGACGAGACTCAGTAAGTGATATAATGAAAAATCTGCTTTATAGAAATTCCAAGATAATTTACTCTTACCTGCAGACGGTCACCGACACTTTATCCCACCAGTATGACGAGCACAACACTAGATCTAGTTGCCTACCATTACAACTCGGAATCTTATTAACGTGAGTGAAATCACAATAAGAATTAAACACATTCAAAATAATTTCTAACAACTTCACTAGTAGAATACAAATTAAAATCGCCTAGCAATATAACACTTTTTCGTATTTTAAATACAGTTGTTCTAATAAACTTAACTCGTTCTCACTGATTTTAGTTATCTAACACTATGCAACACAATAGCAATAATTTGTCATTAGTGTGAACGGTCGCACTGACTAGTTCGAACGAGTGGCGATCTACGTGACGCCATCTAGTTCGCATCGGCTCACTCTTTGTAGTCGTAAACCTCGCGCGGCCACTAGAAATGCACCGCCTTGTTCACGTCCGTCAGTACGGTCGCACCGAATAATTTGGTACCCTATCGGTATAATTTCGCCGTCCATTAACGAGTCGTTACTTCCAGTTTCCGAAATAGCTATGATATCAGCTTCTAAAAATTCTATGTGCTACAAAAACCGTTCAACTTAATTCGAAGGCCCCTGGCATTCTGATAATTGATCGTTAAATGTGCATTATTCTTCGGTTGATTTGCTTATTCATATACGAAACCAATAGCACTGAGAAAACTGCATGAATGGCCAAACTTCCAGCTGGCATAACTTCTGATACCCTGATTCTGAAGCTGAGATAATAAAAGAAGAATAGCTTCTTTCCCGTTTATGTTTTATTTTATTATCTTATCTGATCCATATATTTTTTGTACATAAGTCAATAGCTGATCCACTGTGGTATCAGTTTTCAATCGCCAGACATGTAGATATCTGCAGATTCTGACCTTGATACTTTTTACTTCTACGGTCTCTAGATCCACCGATTTCAATTTAGGTTTCTTAACTCGTCGCGTTTTGATTGTCGCCGAGTTGATTTTCGTAGTTTTCGTGGCCTCATTAGTACGCGGTACAATACTATCGCCTACCTGCCCCGAGTTTTGAACAATATTAGTAAATGATGGTGTTGGTATATTTGTAGCTTATCCGACGTGTCCTCGGTATGAGTAGAGTGCACATTATTTACATTAAGAGCATGATTGATATTTCCACTATTCTCTTTATCACTTTGTCCAACTACCGACATATGCTTCGTTTTAATTTCGTGCAATTCCGATTTTAGGGAAAACACAAATCTCGAAGATCCATAATAACTCTTGTTGTCCATTTTCCTGAAAACTTGGTTTTTGAAGGCTCGGAGTTCCAAAGCATAATCGTAATCACAGTTTATGAGAAGTGGATCATCGGATGCTTACACACGGGATCCTCTCATCGTATTAATACATACATTATGAGTTTCGAACGAGTTTTTTTCACACCCTGGAGTTACATTTGGCTCGTTTAAACTACCTAAACCACTGATTTGACTAAATTTATCCATTTTTACTAATTTATTTAATCGTTTGCGGGAGCACACAAAAACACTTGCGACCGAACGAACGAACGATGAATGGTAGAATCGCTGCACGGAACGCTGTAGATTTTAGATGTCGGTTCAAGTCCTGCCCGTGTCGTAATTTTTTTTTAAACGAAATCGATTGTTGTCTTTACAATGCCATCATGTGTCACATTTAAAAATATTGAAGATTTTCAATTTATTTTTTTTCACCTCCGCCGATCAATGGTTAAACTAGCAATAAGCGCGAGAGGTCCCGAGTTGGAATGTCAAGGAAAAATAGTTCGGTCGGGTAGGGTAAAGAAGTTTGACAACAACGTCCATGCAATTAAAATGTATCAATAAAACGCAGGCATAAAATATCTACCCCATGAGTGATTTAGGAAGAAAGAATTTCACATATCTAAGCCACTAAACACCTGATTTTAACTAAGGGTAGTTAATTCTTACTAAATTTACAATAGATCTAAACTTGGACATTATTTATCCGTTCCAAGTTTGCTTCATCATTGTTTTCTCATAAAGAATATGTCATAATCCAAACAATAGAATGAGACGCAAAGTTCAACGCCCCGCCCCCCAGTAGGCTCACATCGGTTGACAGCAGTTAGCCCGCCTCCTAACGACAGCTATTATCCTTAGTTTTCGACCTTTCCATCTGCAAACATTTCCACGTAATAAAATCTTATCGTCATCCGTTAGCGATTATTTTTATTTCTTCTGTATCCCTCTATTATTGCACATTTAGATAAGTTTAATTTTGTTCTAGGTTAAAATTAATTGAGTATTTCTTAGTAATTAAATTGAACAGTTAGATAACCAATAAATTTTTATCCAATGGGTTTATGTATGTATGTACTAGTTTTTACCACATTTCCCTATTTCTTCGCTCTTATTGGTCGCAGCTTTACGTTTTATAGCCTATGCCTTCTTCGATCAATGGTCCAAACAACACGAAAAATAAAGCAATTCGAACCAGTAGTTCCTGAGATTAGCGCGTACAAACAAACTCTTCAGCTGTTTAAGGCCTGACGTTCGGATGCTTTGTAGCAGCCGAGGTCACGGGGAGACATCACGACATTTTTAAATAAGTTTAACGAATATATCGCGTTTTAAACCGTTAAAGTGTTTTATCTAAATGTGTACTACTCGCGTAAACTATAGACTATATCTCTTCAGCTTCATAATATTAGTATCGATGTGATCTACACTATAGCGCTTATAATACTAAAGCCGATTTTAATGAATGATGTGTGAAGCGATTTTTAATAAGAGGTCGAGTAAAATAGTTAATAAAAATCATTGACTATGTGAGCATAGTGGAATTAGGACTTGAAGGTATTTATATCGTAAAAAAGTATCATGAATGTATTTTTGGCTTTGATTGATACATGCACCACTCAACGTAATTACATTGTTGGAACAAAAGATGTACATGCAGTTGTTGGTACAAAGTATTTTATACTATTCTATATGTTAATTAGATATAGCTAAAATGAAAATGTAACGTACATAGCTTGGCTACATTAAAAGCACACTGTTTTAATAACTATAAGTCAGAGTTGTACCGAGTGAAGTTGATTACTCGGAAAGTTTATGCGAACCGAAATTCCCCAGAGATTACTTCCGCGGAAATTTAAATAACAGCTTATTTTGCATTTTCATCAAAGTTTATATTTGAAATGTTTATCGTAAGTATACGTTTTTTATACGACTGAACATATTTTAAACACACATCAATCTGAAGTCAACACAACGTACTAACGGAACGATTCGAGACTCTTAACTCGCATCACGAGATCCCATGAATGAATCCTGGGTCGTTCAACATTTTACTTCAGTATGCTGGTACCAGCTCAAAGTTTGGAAGTAGGCGCATTCCTCTCCCCCCTATCAACTACCACCACTAACTTAGTGGCGGTAGTTGATTAAAATCGCCAACCTGCAGTCGACGAACGTCGTGGCTGGGACGAGCGGTTAAAATCCTAACCTAGAGAAGACCTGTGCCCAACATTAATAGTTGGATGTGTCAAAGGGCGTAGGATATAAATAAAATAGCTATATAATTTCACATATTTATTGAACAATATTCAAATAATCTCACATACTGTTCAAAAATGTATAATTAATAATATTATGTTGTATATAGAATGCTATACCATACAAGCCCTGTTTATTCATTGAAGCCTTATCCTATAATTTGTGCCAATCTGATGTATGTAGTTTAAGAGCTGGTGTTAAAAATGTATTAATATTAACTTAAACATCGCTTTATCTTAACTTAAACATGATTTTTGGCGGATAGACAATCCTAAAATGCCAAAATTAGCCACCAGCTCCTATACTAGTGAACCTTAAAAGTAATCAAAAATGAATGTAATTTTTCAGTATGTACCGCAACAGGAAGTCGAAATCATTTGGTGCGCTGATAAAAGGGGATCGTTTGAAACGTTTTAGATGGAAGGGTTCTTATCGACAAGCATGCACATACAATTGTGAAGGCTATAATAATGTTTAATGCTATTAGACGGTTTGTGAGATGGGCCGCAAGCAGCTAGTAATTATTTAAAGCTGTGTGGTGTCATCACACACACACAGATGTGTAAGTGGACTAATACTTGTTTTGTAGTTTGTCTAACCAATTCTATGAGTCCATAAGTCTCGTGTTGGGTTGGAGAGTGAGGTAAAAAAATAGAATATTATTCGCTTGGATTTTATTTCTTCAATTTTACGGATACAAAATTGAATTTATTTAGCTTATGTTCACTTGATGGTAGGTGAAATACTCCAGCTTATAGCATCCAAACAAGAAGCGCTGTCGATTTATTTTGGACAATCGGAAATCCACATACTGAAACCGAAACGTCACGAAACTTCTCGACTTTCATCTGTAGACGGTGGTTCGATCACACCTTTAATGTCCGGATTTCCAGAAAAAATATGTGGTACCCGACCCGTTGATTATTAGTCGTGCATTGCTACCATTACACCAAGGAACCCGTCATATGATAAATATGTTATGTGCATGAATTTCTATATCATATGCGTACTTATGAATTACAATATATAAAAACATTATACGACTTAGTTTTGTTGGATAGTCCGTAAAAACCCTTTTTATAAAGACGTTCGCGATAGCGTCAATAACTGAACCCTCGATTTATCAAATTTTACGCTTGATAAAAGAGGTCAATGAAAACGGGAATTCCATTTCATTTTGATGTCTGCTCCATATATTTCGGTTTCTCGCATATTAAAAATCAACTGGCATTGTTTCAAAAATGATTCGGAACAAAACTCTTAGACTAAAAAAGATTGCGTGTAATTTAAATATTTATTAATTAATTTTATCATTGTTAAAATAATGAGATTTTTACACGTATTCATTTTAGTGGTCCGCATGTTATTTCAAAATCGTGACGTTACTTTATTACTTATAGAAAAATTATAGAATAGCAAGCAATTTTTAATAAAATAAAACTCCATATGTTATCTCTTTTTTACATTTACCTCCCATTCTATAAAAACACTTTATTTTTACTTTTTGTGGCAAAAAAACCTTTAAAAAAAACGGCGCAGCAAGTAGGTTTTATGTTATAAGATAAAAATTTCTCACTATATTTTTATATTATATTATATGATATTACACCGTTTAATTACCATGAATTCTTAGATACAAACTCTAGTTATATACATATACATTTTTATAAATAATATTCGTGTGCTATCTACGTATAGGTATAAATTATTGCATTTTATGCGTATTTTTAACATTTTAATTATTATTTAAAAACATTCGACAAATCAAATCGAATCATGGAAAGAAACAAAAATGTTTACAAAACGAGTTAATTCTAAATTAGATAAAGTCAATAAACACATCCTTAAAATTATAAAAACTTTTAAGAGAGTTCAAATAAATATATATATATATATATATAAAAAAATAAACAAAAACAAAAAAACGAAATAAAAATCAATATTTTAATTTTTAATAACCGTTTTTTGTTATGATTTAGGGTTCGTTATTATTTTCCAATATTGTTTATTGCAAATGCACAATCGAATACGAAAAATTATTATCAAACTAGCTGTGCCCGCGACTTCGTTCGCGTGGAATAGTGACTTGGGGTAGAATTTTTAATTATTTAGGCTGTTTATTAATTTATGTACTCACGTAGTTATCGCAGCCAAGCTATGTTGTTAGTGCTACTTTGCCGATTCAATGTTCTATCTTCAAAAACCACGAATTTCCATACAAAATTTCACTCCCCCTTTTAACCCCTTACAACCCCCGTTTCGCAATAAAAAGCCTATGTTCTTCCTCAGGGTCTAGACCATATGTGTACCAAATTTCATTCAAATCCGTTCAGTAGTTTTGGCGTAAAAGAGTAACAGACAGACAGAGTTACTTTCGCATTTATAATATTAGTAAGGATAATCTGCGTCACGTTATATTTTGAACCAAATTTTTTATGAGAATGGCTTTTAAATATAGTCTATCAGTAAAATACATGGACAGGTTGAATAACTTTTACATAATATATTTTTTAACTATCTACACTTACAAGTATTAATTTAACATATGTTAAATATCGTATAAATATAAAAATAACACCGAGATTAAGTAATGTGCAGATGATATGTATCTCTAATAGGTACGCTTGTAACAAGATAATATAAAATTGTTGTTAAAATTATATTTACATCTTATATCAACACGATTATTTTCAAAACCTTACACGAACTTAATCATTGAAATAAAAAAAATATTTGATACTGTAGAACACAAAAGTAGTTCTATACTTTAAAAAAACATGTGTATGTAAAACCTTATAACGAATATCAGAAGAAATGTATATAATATGTTATATATGAAGCAAATATATACATGACAACGGCTCTAGCCTACTGGTTACGTTAAATATATGGACTGTAACATATAAACTAGTGGTCGTAACATATGACTACCTAATATAGTATACTATGAAGCATATAGGATATCTACTATTTAGATATATTGAAGCTAGACACTGTAAGTGAAAAATCAAATTTATGGATAGGACAATATTTTTTTATCGACTTAAGATTGAATAACTGTTTTATTATTTTGAAAACTTTAATATTTTTTACATGTTATTGCACATGATGACACTATATAATTTGAAAATCGAGTCTCGAGACTCGATGACTCAATTGGTATAGCAACAGCACGGAACGCTGATGATGCCGGTTCAAGTCCTGCCCGAGTCGAAAAAATGTATTTTTGATTACTATTCGATTATTATTCGATACATTGTTTTATTATTTGAGGATTTAAGCATATTGATTACAGGATCATACATTAAATATGCTTGTTTAATTCAATGTAAAAAGTTTAAGGTAATGCTTTTTTTTTATTATTTCATTATATATTATAACATAAGAAAAACAGTTCCACCCAAAAGTCGATAAAAATACAACAGGAATCCGAAAACCTTAATAGCAGCACTAATAGGAGTAAAGATCCCTCGGTATAACCTTCTGCCATCCGTTTGTTACTAGATAACAACATCTTTCCAAACTACTCGTACAATACTCATTTGTTCCCAACAAGTCAATACCATTCTTAACATAGTTTTCGTAATTACGTAATGCACACGTGACGAGAGAACTTGACAAATCTTGGAAAAGCAAACACGGGCTTCGACTCGGTGGAAGACGGACCCCATCTAAAATGCGATTTCCACCTATTTTGCTTCAGGTCTTTACAACGGAAGTTCACTAACTGAAACCGAGCAGGGATTTTAAAACTTCTCAGAAACATGTTAGACTTCGGTGGAATTCAGGATGTTAAGTGGTTGGAAGGAATATCAAAATTCCGCTCGAGGTTTGATCCACCGTCTTCTTAGAAAAAATCATCAAGTTTAATCGATCGGTGACTGTGATTTCCGAATATCGAATCTTTCACCTACCATTAATTGAATCCTACACTTGTCTGTCATTTTCTATCATAAAAAAGGATTAACATCACAGCGTTTCCATCTTTGAAGCTATCTTCAAAAACGCGGCGATGAAAAATAATTCGGACTTCTCTCGTCACGCGTACGTTCAAACTATTTAACATATTGGTCAAAAGTTATAACATATTTATAGTTTCATGTAAAGCGATCCTTAATATTATCTGATACAAAAATTTAGTTTCAGTTAGTACGTTCACTCCAAAATGCCAAAGGCTTAAACGCTTCAACAGAGCTTTTATCGGGACGTGGATTAGCAAACTTTTTCTCAACGAGTTCTGTATCCCATTCCAACTACAGAGTTCAGATGTGGCTTCCTAGTTATTGGCATCGATCGCACGTACACATTACGTGACTCCAGAACTACGTGCTTCAATACGCGTTTACACGCTTTCACATTTTGCATACTTTAATAGGTGCGTCTCCGCTGAACAAGAAGTCAGCGCTAGGAATTTCTCAGCCTATGAAGCCACGTGTTCCATTTGATCATTTTCTAAAGCTTAAATTGTATTTTTTTTATTACCAATTGTTTTATACATTTACGTGTAATAGGCCCAGCTGGTTCAGTCAGATTTGAAAACGTCCAGAGCAGCTTACTCTATGGAAACCCACCTAACGACCTGGCCACGGAATATTTGACTAAGGAATATATACTAAGAGCGACCGGCAAGCCTAAGCGAACATAAGCATGAATCATTACAGAGTAAAAAGTCGCAAGAACTTCGTCTTTCGCACCGCTGATCACGGTGGCCAAGATCAAGACCGTATACATTTGTACTACGTAGACGCAGATGACTTACGTTTCTCTACTTTTGGATCCCTTAACTTATTCTCATCCATCGACTCAATTTTATGGTCTCGTAACAATGGCGTTTTTACATCTTTATCGTCGTGCTTGTACGCTTCTTCTAAAGGACTCTGTTCATTTATTTCTTCCTTTTTGTCGGTTTTCTCGTTATTGTACGCCATATTATCAAAACACTGCGCTGGGACTAAATTGACGGATTTCATCATTGGTATAGCTAGGGCTAAAGCTGGACTCATGTCGCGGGGACTCGGGGTGAGGCGAGTGGCTACAGCTAAATCCATCCCAGGCATTAGGCTTGCGACTGTGGAAATAAACGAATATTAACGGATGAAAAAAACTGACAGCCTAATACTATGTCTAATATAGGATGATCATATTGGACGAAATAAAAGAAAGTGTTACGAAATGCATTATATTTGACTTCAACTGAGACTCGAAATAATTAATTGAATATTTTCACTTAGGGTGAAATACTACCCCGTATCCTATGAAATATATCAAAGCTTATCATCCTATATTAGACATTATAATGACCCCAATTATTGATTAAGAAACGACACAGACACCTAGAAGCAATACAGATATTAATAAAATGTTTTATGTATTTCCAGTGAGAGTACTATGTTTCCAAAATTGAATGTTAAAATCGTGGCAAAATTTCATTTATAGAATACTTAACATTCAATACAGACGCTTAATTAACATTCAAACAAAGAAAAAGCATTGGAATCTTAAATATCATTTGGAATTCGCTTCAAATTTACTTTCAACAAACAGGATAGGACTCTCAAAGGACTAATTGTTAGTATTGTCGAAGATTGTTAAGAGTTTGATGTTGTGAAGTAGACCTACTTTGATAACTACAACAACGGCTAAAGAGAAACTCCAACTATATATACAATATTTTTAATTATATATAACGATACTATTTAAAATGTATTAAGCTGTGCGATATTTTATAAATACATAATTGTGACTGGGTTGGGAATGCTTGCATGGTAATGCTTGCATGCGGTTTTAAGCTTAAAATAGCTGTAAATAAATTAATAAATATATGTACACGTCTGAAAAATATGAGGCCATATATATTATTTTCATTTAGTTTCAGATTTTTTTTCCCTTTTTGTTCCTTAAATTTGGTTTTTTTTTTTTTTTTTTTTTTTTTTTTTTTTTTTTTTTTTGTAAACAATCATAGAATTTAAAACAGTATTAATGCATTTTGTCTATTTAACAAAGGTTAGCTAAGGACGATCGCTTAGAAGATACCTTATTCTAAATCCATCAAGCGGTTTAGGCTATGTACAATTGAAACACACAAACATGTTAGCCAAAGTTTAACGATAGTTTGGGAAAGCAAAATAAAGGGAAAAGAAATTAAGACGATACAATTATTTTTTTTTAAAAATTGTTTAAAAATTTTAACTTTTGTCTATATAGTTTACACACGTTGAACTAAGGGTTAAAACGCGAATATGGGCGTGATGTTGAAAAATTACTTCAATATTTTTCGCCTTCCAAACCGTTAAGTTTTATTTTACTGTCCACCCTTAATAACGGTTTAAAACGCGGAAAATACAGGCTTAGATACTTTTAATGATTTGACTCAGAAACTTTGCAGATAACCTTAGACGTAGTGGGTATGTGTGCGTGAATTATAGACAAGAGTTAAATGAATAAGATTTTCAAATTTTCGCCTAGTTATTGAATTATAGATTATAAAATTATTCATATATATATACTACTATATATATATACGTCTCTTTTATGTTTCAGAGCAACTAAAATGTTCTATATACCGCAGTGTTCAATGTGGGTAGAGTAGCTTGTTGTGTGGTAATGGTTGATGTTTGGTGGTTGCCTGAAAATATACGTCAGACAAATCAAATAGGTTTTTTAATGAAGGCTAATCATTTATCTAAAGCAGCGCCAACAGAACATGTAAATACGAGAAGTGTGAAAGCATTTTTAAATAACATTACTTTTTTAATTGATACGATTGAATTAAATTTAATAACGTCACGATAAAACACATTATTTTAATAAATCGAGTAGGTAACTTAACTAAATAATTGAATAAATTAAATTGTTTGCATAATTTTTAACAGAATTACTTAAATAAATGAAGCTCTACAATTAGATTGGAGTTTTTTAAACATATTATATATAAAAGAAGTTTGAGGTTAAAATAAATATACCCCAGTGTGTCATGCTTTTATAAATGTAAAATCATTTCGTAAACTACATATGACATATTAATTAAAACTCTAATAACGGTTTAAAAGTCGAAATGTAGTCAACTCCCCCGCGAGCACGGCTGCTGCAAAACATCCGAAACATGGGGCCGTAGTTAATATATTACCTTAAACATTTCGCGTTATAAACCGTTAAAAGTGGTCATATAAATTACTTGAGTATGTCATGGTATATGCTTTAAACTCATGTAAATGAATACGAGTTTAACTAAAGAAGTAGTTATTGGTCTGTTGACGCTGCGCGAAGTATCAAAATAATGGACTACGAGGTCCACATTAACACTAAAGCTAGGACACCAACAAGCAGCCAAGCGATTCTTATAGTTCTCCAACCTTTGCGCTTCACCGATGATGCTGTGGGACCTAAAGGCTTCGTGCTGGTTCGTACTTCGAGTGCAATGTGAAAAAATGTTAGTGTTATGACTCCGTTGTGCAGGCGTTATATAAAGCCCGTTCCCTGGAGTATTTGTCGCTTTTTAAAGCATGTTTAGGTTTTTTCGTTTGCAGTTGTTTGGTGTCGTTTGGATCATAGCCTCTAGTTCGCTACGATCACCATCTGTGGAGGATTACATTGCATAAGCTGTTAGTGAGTTTATAATGTTATCGATGTATTGCGCAAAATAACTTCAGCAGTTCAGCGCCGTCTGCGCATGTGAACGCACTTTTGTAGGAAAGGAATTCACAAAAGGTGAACTAATGTATTTTTCCAATAAAAAAGGCCCCCTTTACCCGTTTGAGGCGGGGCATTTGGTCTTTGTTTCTTTAAATATAAGTTAAGCAGCAGCGCAGTTGCAGTGACATTTTGTTGTTTTGCTATTTTTGTCTTATGTTAAACAGGTTTGTTTTAAGTTTGCGTGAACTGCCTAAGCCTTTAGCGTTTAACAATAAAATTGAGCTACGTGGCGTCAAACCAGTAGCTTCTATAAAAAAAAACTATTTAGATAAAAATAGATTTGATTAGATCATGTGGTCTAACCAATTAAGTTTCCGTGTCTGTTCTAATTAAACCAACACAATTTAAACTTATTTTTCGCTGTCGATTACTTTTAGTATCTTATATTTTATTAACTATAATTATCTACTTACAAATTATTAATTTCAATTCATGAGATAACTTTGCTATCGTTCCATTTATGGACTAAGACTCTTGCTTAAAGGCCAGATCAAAATTGTCCAAAAGTTTAATTAAGATGCTGTGCTAAATAGCTGAATTTTTGAATTTTGTTACTGTACAATAGCATATTTGATTCTTAGCGTTAGTCGGTTACATGTGTTAGTGAACTGTGGGATACTTTGAACTATGTACAAGTTTGCATTTATAAATAATATCGACCCGAAGTCTAGATCTCGTAAATATTAGATCTATTGTATATTATTAAGCGCTTCTTATCTTTAAATCTAAATATAACGAAGTATTTGTAAGATATTGTCAAAAATTTATTCAATGAATTATCAAAACACTATTGATAAGATTGTCAAATTGAAAAAAAAACACAATAATCTACTCGAATCTCATAATTAACATAACTTGTGGCTAAACAACTGGTCTATCGAGCTCATAATGTTTCTAATCAATTTATAATTTTTTTGTAACATGTTACGTCTGAAAATTCGGATATAAAATGGTGATAGGAGTATTGGAAGTTTCGTCAACGCCGTGAAACACTGTCACAGGATAGTTTCTGTTTTAGTTTGTCACGGGCGGTAATAGAATCCAAGACCAAAGGTTGGTGGTTTAATAATTTTTCAATTTGACGATATCTAACACTTGTTTATATTAAGACAATCAGCGCTTAATAAGACAATATTTCTGATATTTATATTACTTAATTGCATATTTGCAGCTTTCTTCTACGAAGGACTTACCCATATTAGGTCCCATCATATCTTTCGGATGATTCGTTTTTATTGCGTTCATCCTTCTGTTTACAGCTTGTGGGCCCATCCCAGGGGCCATGGGTCCAGCTGGGGCACCAGGTACTCCTGGTGTTCCTAGAGATTGGAAAAATAAAAGATATAAAAGAGGAAGTAACATTAATTTATAGGATTATCCTATGATTAATACCAGTTAATATGTTAATGATAGCTTTTCTATTAAATTGGCAATCGATCCGAACTCTTCTTATCAATTTATAATTTTTCTAAAACATGTTGGACGCCCCGTCATGAACCATTGTCCACAGTTAAAAAGGCCGTCAAGTTTAATTAGGTTTCGGATCTACAGCCAAAAAAGGTCGACAGCGCATCTCGTTTAAATATTATATGGCTTTTTAAATAAAACACTTAACGGTTTAAAACGCGATATATTAGTTAAACTTATTTGAAAATGATTTTTAACTTCGGCCCGACGTTTCGGATGCTTTGCAGCAGCCGTGGTCACGGGGATAATTTTCAAATAAGTTTAACTAATATATCACGTTTTAAACCGTTAAAGTGTTTTATTTAAATGTGTACTACTCGCGTAAACTATAGACAGTATTTTATTATATGGCTATTATTATGGGGTATTCCATTTACGTGAACCTCGTGCTTTTCTGTTCCTCTGTAAAAAAAACTTTTATGCGGTCACCGTCTCTATTATTGCTTTTTTTTGTAAGTACGTTCGATTTTGGCTTGTGAATTTCCCAATAACTAAAAAAGCTAGAATGTGAAAGTAATCATTACAAATGTTCCGTTAGTAAAATGTAAAGCCATCCAAACTTTTCTTTCAATCCTCATTTACAAGATGGAATAAATGTTTTAATATTTTAAGGCGAAGTTTATAAGTGGCCCTTAAAATGTTTCAATAGGTGAAGATCTTCTCCTTAAAACGAAAGTTTTGAAGCGAGCTTATTATGTAATCAGAAATAGCAACTTGACATGAATATTTTGAAGATTTTTTTTTGTTTGTGGTTAGGAACGTGGGGGTAATCATATCTTATTTAAATAAAACACTTAAACGGTTTAAAACGCGATTAATACAGGGTGTATATGAAACAGTTCTGCAAACTTGTAAGGCCATATTTTAGGAGCTCAAACGTGTTATATGGTGCTATTTATTTTCATTTAGTTTTAGATTTTTTATGTGTACTACTCGCGTAAACTACAGACAGTCTTTGATATATGTTTTTGATTGGAACATTTGCACTTATCATGTATACCTAAGAGGCAAAATATTGTTATAGGACACTGTCTGTCACCGGTTGCCAATGAGCTAACATTTCGGAAGCTTAACAGCAGCCTTCGGGTTACGTCGGGTCGTAGTTAAAATAAATCCATAAAGTTAACCAATATTTCGCGTTTATTTAATAATATTACTATTTTAGTATAGTATGTATAAATGTGCACCAAGTGTTTGTAACGGCCGGAGCCGCGGGCAAGAGCTAGTACGACTTGCTACTTCTAACGTAATAATTAATTCAAAGCGCCATTTCACTAGATCCTTTTATCCTGGAATCATCAAATTCAACACGCGTACGGCATAAATCACTTTCAATGGAAAAACCACAAGGATTGCTTAAATTCATCCAGAGATTACTGGGTTTACATTATTTATGTGGAGTTAACAACACTAAAATACGCCCCATTATTCTTTAATGGAATATAGATTGATTTTTGTTGCAAGAAAGGTGACAATCGCGAAGTAGATGTGGTCTCGTTGAAAATATATTTTTGTACCCGTTTTATTTTCAGCAGACAAATTATCAGCGATTGAAGTATTTAATGTTAGTTTAAAGGTAACATATTCCTAAAATGTTATTAAAAATATTTAAGTGTGAAAATCTTAAATCTGTGTTCATTGTACTGATTGATTTACAGGCAAGACTTTTGCTTTTTCCGAATGGAAATATTTATTATATTTCACTGTAATTCGAACCCAATATCTCTTAGCGTAATGCATTTTTTTATTAAGCTACTATGATTATAAGAAGTTTTATTTTATTTCTATAAAAACATGATTATGATATTAATGTTATAAGATCAATAATATGGCAGATACATAAATAATAGATTTTCATATCATTTATGAGTTTCTATAATATGTACTTACTAAGTGGTGGTCTGGCTGGTTCCACGTTAATGACTCTTCGTCTCTTCTTCGGCAACTTGGCCCTCGCTTGTGTATGCGAGTAGTACATGGCGAAATTTGATACTATTACTGGTACGGGTAGAGCAATTGTCAACACCTATTTTGAAAAAGTTTAAAAGAGATGTTAATTTTAGTTTTGAATGCTATTAAAAAAATATTGATTTATTATTACGTTATTGAACGATAATTAATAATAATAATTTCTATAAAATAAGGTTTTAATATATTACATTTATCTATTTTTAGAAGGTTCAATCTTATTTGAAAGCCTTAGAAACATGTTAATTTAAATAAAACACTTTAACGGTTTAAAACGCGATATATTAGTTAAACTTATTTGAAAATGATTTTTAACTTCGACCCGACGTTTCGGATGCTTTGCAGCAGCCGTGTCTCCCCGTGACCGTGTTTTATTTAAATGTGTATCAATCAATTTTTAATTAAAATCTGACAGGCCACTTAAACACACCAATAAAACTTCTCCAATACTCACACCAGCCAAAGCGCACAAAGCACCAACAAACATTCCGACATACGTCTTCGGAGCCATATCCCCATACCCCACGGTCGTCATAGTAACCAGCGCCCACCACAAACCCAACGGTATACTATTAAAGTCATTGTGGGGGTTTGTCTGGATCCGCTCAGCGTAGTACACCAGGCTCGCGAATATCACAATGCCTAGCACTAAAAAGAACACTAACAGAGTCAATTCTTTCGCAGACGCCCTGAACGTCTGTATAAGGATCTTCAAGCCAGACGAGTGCCTGGTCAACTTGAAGAGCCTCATGATGCGTATGATGGAGAAGAACTCCAAGATGTCCGCGTTTTCGACATGCGAGGCGTACTTTTGAAGGATGAGATCGATGTAGAAACTCATAGTGGCGATATAATCTATGATGTTTACTGAAGATTTGATGAATTCGCACTTGTTCGGGCTAGATATGAAACGCACTAAGATTTCTAGCGTGAACCAAGCATTGCACACGCACTCTATATAGAAGAACGCGATATGGGCATTCGTTTGTACTTTGTCCAATGCCCAGCTTTGCGTTTGATTCGCGGTCGTCACTGAATAGTTTCTTATCACTGGCACTCTCATGTCCGGGTGAGTCTTCAGGCAGAAAGATATGATGGACACGCATATGAAGAAGACGGATATCACGCCGATTATCTGTGAATAAAAGAGAACACCTTATAATCGATTTTTAATTTAGAACACTTAAAAAATGTATTCTCAAAGATTATACATACAATACCTTATATATATAAAATATATTAACAGTACCTTGCATTGCGAATTTTAAATAAAAATATGAGTGTAGGCAATTTAAGTTGTAAAATGCTAACATGTTTACGATCAGGATGTTACGGTATGGACGTTAAAGGTGGGATTACGTGGAATTTTCATGATGCGATACTTACAACAATATTGAATAAAAACATATTAATATTGTTTAGAATTTTGTTACCACTTAATTGACTTAATAATTCATTACCATTTAAAATGTGGCTCTTCACTATGACTATAATATATATAGATTGTGAATACTATCTTTGTAACTTAAGCCTAACAGAATCTAGCTATTGAACGCGACTTAATCAAATAATTCAAGGAATGTCTGAAAAGACTGTACCCTACTATCAATTGACAGCCGTAACTGATCATTTCTTGATAATCAATACAGCCGAAATATTTGTGCTATTTGAGTCTTTGCATGGAACTATAATCTATTTCTGTGGCAAATAATAGAATTATTTGGCATACAGAATTATTATTATTAGTTTCAAAGCAAGCTATTGTTAATGAAATTATAATTAGTGTTACGTTAGTAATTAAACCCCTTGCCAATAAAATTTTTCATACTATTTTGTTTATATATTCAAACTACAATACGTTACATTTCTATGCCGTGCGGTTAATTGCGTGACACGGCAGCCATATTGATTGCAGTTTCGGCAGCAAGTTATTATCTTTTCAACGAGGGGTTCCGTATCTCATCTAATTCCCACCAAAGGACAAGGACGGCAACAGACGAAGCGGAATACACTCTCAACGATGAAGACAAACTAATATTTAATTCAAAAGCCGCCGCTTGTAGGTCACTGGGCGATTTTAATTGCCTTAAAAAAGGTCTAAGCACCATTCTCGTGAACAAGAGTAAACCCTTCTACGGGTGTAAAATAATTTAATTAACATTAATTTGAATGATAAAGGCTCGTAAAATTTTACTATCAAAGGATTATGAGGGCGTGGGCTGTTCTAATTTTTTGGACGAGCGCTGTCGGTAATTTGAGGATGTTTGAAAATTGTGTTACATTTATTATTGGTCGTAATTTAACAATAAGTATGTTAGTCATGTTTTTCTAGATAGCTGTATTTACTTTTTTCTTAGTGTGATTATAGACAATTCAAATCATTTGTGTATATATACTTACTAAAATTTTGCAATTAATTTTATAAAAGAAATATATTGTATTCAATTAATTGTATATATGAAATTTTATTTATACAACTTCAAAACCAAGCTATCATGTATTTCAAAGGATGGACCAATGGATCGTGGGTTCGATTGCTAATTCTTCAAGAATATTTGTGCGTTCCGCTTGATAGAAATGATAACAAAAACAAATTCGCTTCTACCGCATTCATATAAAAAAGGAAGGTAGGACAAACCCATAACGCGTTACATAACGAAGTGGTTTATCTTCACATAAGAAGGTAATTAAAAAGTAATTTAAAATCTGTAATAACTTATGATACACATAGCTTAATTTTTAATGAATAATTTTTAACATTACCTTAGCAGCATTAGAACTATAGGGCTCGTCAAATAGAGACCACATCTGCGGTTTCAGCTGTTGCCACCAAGACACTGTGCCATTGTAGTAATCCTCTTCGAAGCCGAACTTGCGAGCTACTTCCTCTTCAGATGGCTTTTCCGTATCCAGGTCCAATCGATCCAATACAGCGAGGGTCTCTTGTGTATCACGGTGCTATGAGAAAAGCATGTATTTAATATAAAAACAGACAAGTAGTTATAAAAGCTATTTGTTGGTGTATAAAATGTTGCGTTATATAAACTATAATACACATACATAAATTCTTACTTCCTTAAAAAATTGTTTTTTCTCTTTAAAGAATACATTTTTCCTGTAGACATTGTTATGTAAGATTATCTTTTCTAAAACTGTTCAATTATTAAAAAACTTCACCACACGTTATCGTACTATTTTATTAAGAAAAATTTAAACATCAAGACAGATCAATGTGGATGACGTTAATCCGATATAATATCGTTTACGGTGTCTAAGAAAATACCCCAAACGTATAAATAGAAGCTCAATATTTTCATAAAGTTATTCAGGTACATAATTTTCCACTTCAACCAATTTATTAGGGTTTATTCCACCGAAAGGAGTAATATTTCTTCGTATAACATTATGATAATTGAATTTGAAGCTTCCTCAATATTATGGAGCAGTAAAACATTTTATTTCTTTCATTTACATTTATGTTTCGGAAAATTTTTGCAAATAATATTTTTAAAATATTTTACCCAATGCCACTTTGTTTTCCATAATGAAGATTAATACTTAGGTATTTTTCGGACGTTTTTCGTTTATTACAAAATTCGTACGAAATTGGAAGTATCTACCACACTCACTTCCTTATATCACTTATATAAAAATAAATAAAGTCAATATTATGTGCTATATTGTCTCTTAATATGAAAGAAGAGGACAGACAAACATCTAAAACTTGATATAAGGTAAAATACTTTTGAACAATGTGCGATGTATTTCGGCTTTAATAGAATCTGAAAAATAAGAGACTGGAACCAAACCGCGACTAAAATTTTTTATGTGTGTTCGTGACGTCTGGACAGAATTTCGAGATTTCAAACACCCATTCAATATACAGATCTGTCTGTAAGACAAAGTCCAACAACTTTAGAAAAAATAATAATTGTATTAAAAAGATGTTGGACCCATTGATTATTTATTAGCAATACATTATTATCGTTAAATCAACAAGTCGTAAAAAGAATTAATGTTTTTACTTATTGCTTAATTATATCTATATGCTACTTTCGTTTAGTATAAAAAATAATTTAACATCGCACTTAAATTGTAAACTAAGGTCTTTTACTAGTTACGTTAAAATAAAACAGAAAAGGCATAAATGTGAAATGTAACTTTCAATTTACCTGTAAAACAAAATACAATTTCATTAATTGAAATGTTTCCAGATATAAATAAAAGTGTAATTCGTGCCAATAAGAGTTTTAATATTTAACAGAGTAATCGAAGCGTACGTTAAGCTGCGTTGCATAATTGCTCACTGTATGAAACTTTATGGTTAAACAGGGTTGTCAATATAGAAAGATGTTTTTAAAGACATATTAAAAATATTTAATGTACAATTTGAAGGTTTAAAACGCGAAATTACGAGTGAACGTATATACAACTAGATATGCCAGCAATCTCATCCGCTAAGAATATTTATTTTGGGCATCCAAATTCGTTTTTGCAAATCCCTTTAACTTTATAATCTTAAGCAGTTACCCACGATGTCGGTTGCGTCTCTTCCCGTCATTCTCTCAAGTTAATCTTAAAAAGTAGAGATAATAATAATAATAATTAGTCACAGGGCGATGTTTTATAGCCTATAGTCTCGATAAATGCTCTAACCAACACAAAGAGAATTTTTCAATTCGAAGCCGTAGTTCCTGAGATTAGCAAGTTCAAACAAACTCTTCAGCTTTATATATTAGTATATATTTACTTTAACTACCACTCAACGTTTCGGTCACAGGGGAGTGTTTTACATCGTCAACAGTATTTTATATAAGTTCGAACTATTCGGGATAGGACAACCAAAAAGTTTAAGTGAGTAGATGTATGATGAAAAAGTGGCAACCTTACAGAAGGCTCTATACAACTATATTTTGCTTAAGAAATTTGAAGTCATGCCCAAAATAATCAACAACAATTACCATACGTAATGACCAATATGTCTAACATTATGGTCATTTACTATAGTATTTATAGCACTAAGCTCAATATTAGGTATTAAAATGATATTGTTTTTCCAAATACATTTTATGAAATATTTTTCAAGGAGCGCCAGCCCTAGAACGAGAGCATGAAATCAATACCTAAGAGGTATTTTATGAGGACCTAACGAGTTCCTTTATTAATCGAAGTCTACATCCAATCAGTAAAGTACCTAACTTTTAGCAGCAAAATAGATGTACCAACAATCTTTTAATGTTTTTATGTGTTTCTCCCTGGTAATATTTTATATCGATATTTTATATCACAGAATGTGTTCCATTGAATTTTTCGCAGATATTGACCTAGATTCCTGCTCTTCTACTGACTCTGTTAAAAATTGATGGGTACGTCGGGATAGTGGTAGCAATGTGGTCGCGTGTTTGATCCCCATTGCGTCTAAAGTATTTCTAATCAATTTGGATTATGTCTGGACATCTAGATATTAAATAAAATCGGGTGGAATATCGATATCTATGTAGTCAATTTTACCTCAATATATCTTTTAAACTTCTTAAGGAAATAGTTATAATTTTTACAATTTATTTTTATGATGTTTCTGTTTCTGTTCTGCCTGACAGACAGACAAACATTTTTGATGAATCTAAATATATATTTTTTAATTTTATCATCGTAAGCCATAATATATAAATAAATATGTCATTATTGCTTATTAGTATATCTTACTGGACAGATGTTGGTGTATATGTGAAAACCTATCGTGGACTTTTTTTAATGCAAGTATGACTGTCCCGTTCGCCTTCTACAAGTACATACGTGTCGGTAATTGTCGTAGCACAGTCTACGCCTTGTAGACCTGCTACGAAAGTAGCAACATCTACAATTTAAAAAAGGAAATAATTAGTTGCTAATATTATTATAACAGGTACTATCAAACATAGGTAATTTATACTTTTCTATAAATATTAACGTTAGTATTTAAACAGGACTTGTCATGAACAACTTCATTAGAAATGATTGTCTAAAATAAGGTCATTAAAAGCGAGAAGTCCGAGTTCGAATCGTGAAAAATCGGTCTGGTAGGGCATAGAAGTTTGATCAATTACTTATTTGTAATAGAACCGATTAGTACAACGGACACAGAAATGTATTCGTCCCCAGCCTCACGGGAAACTGGATTTTATTGAAAATGATTGATTCTATATAAGAAGCTAATTTTTATAATTATAAAAGTGAAGTTCTTGTGGCCAACCTAAACAGTATGAAAGTAATACCACAAACAGATGGCAAACCTGGCTTTCCAATATAGTAAAATTTCATAAGCGAAATTTGCTGTAGTTTTGTACGTATGCACGACGTCTTAGCTTCTGTATTTATAACTAATCTAAATTCCGGGCTGTAGATGACAGGGTCTGAGAATTCCGTACATAATGGACATAGTTCGGCGTAATCGTCCGTTGATTAAACGCTTTTATTTAGCCCCAGTCTTGTAATCTAGTTAGAAGCACTTTGTAACATTCTACCAATAAGAATTCACTGTCTTGGTTTAAAATTTTTGTATAGACTTTAAATTTTAATTAATATATAACATGTTACTATATATTATATAACAAAACATCATACTATTGTTTACCTGCGTATCTATATTTCTAACTAATTCTAAATCAAATTGAATCAAAAATAATTTATATAGGTTACACATATGAACGTCAAAAACTTTGACAGTAATAACTTTTAACGGTTTTAAACAGGTCGTAGGACTAATAAGGGCTAGTATAGCATATTTGACATTGACATTAAGGACACCCTCCATCCACAGACCTCCGTGACCTAGGTGCTGCAAAGCATCGAAAACTTCAGACTGAACTTAAAAAAAAGTAGTTCATGAATTAGCTAAACATTTCACGTATAAAACAGTTAAAAGTATTTAAATGTATACTAATCTCGTAAACTGCAGGCAATAACTCTATATTTAAGTTTTTTTCAGTTCACAATCACGGGCGTAAGACGAACATAGAAGAACTGGCAAGAAACTCGCCACTCTTTTCATCTTAAATCTATGTGATTATATAAGGCTGCAAATTGAACGAGCTTTATCAATACTTTTAAAGTTTAACTGCGATATTATAGTAGTTCTAGATTTCCCACCAAGGGCAAAATTAAACGTGATTCCATAAAAATTTAGGTGTTTACAGAGTATTGAGAAATTTTCATTAAAAGCTTTTGTATTGCCATAAAGTATTATAAAAATCCCATGACAAGATTGTGTCTATACGTGTGTTATCAGCAAGAGAGCATTTCGTTCTAGATTATATCGAATGTCACAATTTAATACGGGATCGTGGGCTGAGACATCATATGTGTCGTAAAAAGTGGACGATTTCCCAGATATCGGGTGAAATGAGAAAAGTTTGTGCAGTCCCTCATGGACGGGTAACCACGTTTTTGTTCTAACATATGTTACTGCTAAAACAAACGAATTAACACTTGTTAACATAAGATAATTCTGAAACAATGTCATAAAATTTATCTCTCTTTTTCATATGAGTGAAATCCTGTTGCCCCCTCGTGGGGCATGGGGCGAACACATTTCTGTGTCCGTTTCACTGATCCGTTTTTTAACAGGCAAGTAATTGTCTGTGCCCTGTCTTACCGAAACAATTTTTTATTTCCCTGGGATTCGAACTCAGGACCTCTCACGCTTAACGCAATGCTAGGCAATACGCTTAACCATTTCCCTACAGAGGCGGTAGGTCGGCCTCTTCTTCATAACTATTCGCATATCTATTAGACTAAAATATCTGTTTTGAGTAAAAAGTTCCAAACCTCCGTTTCAAAAAATATAATTTATGCTAATTAGACTTTGGCATTTACTCTAGCTTACTCCAGTAAACCTGAAATACTTTTAACGGCTTTAAAATACGAAACATATAGGTTAATTCATCGCGTTTTACTAGGTTAAAAGTGAATTTTGTAATTGTTAGTGCTCAAAAATCATCTTTTTAATATTTGAATATCAATTGAAAATGCCGACATGGGATATTACTCGTATTCATGAATAAAAAAAAAATATACTGGGATGTATACTCGTATTAATGAAAAAAAAAAAACTATTTGTATATGATGCCATTTTATTTTAAGTCAGTTTGAACTAATATTGTTACCCTTTGATGTAAAATTTTAAAGCGCGAAATATCAGTTGTAACTTCGTCTTTTGCGATAAAGCAGTTCTATTTTAATACTTAAAAATATAAGATGCGGTCGCAACTGTGTCTGGGCTTCATATTGTATAGTATTATCGCTTGATATCCATTGGAGCGTACTTCGTAATTCCTTTCTATTCTCGTACATTTCTTTCTGCCGATCGCGCATTGTATCTTGTGCAACTAAAATGTCTCCCATTAGGCTGTGGTCTCAAGTTTATAAACTGCACCGTTGGTATAGTGCTTAGTATATAGTTAAAGCACATAATTTAACCTGTTTTTTATATACGTTTGTCATCTAAGATTTTCGTGGTTTCTAGACATTTATTTATTTAAAAAAAAGGCCAGGGTATTACAGAGTATGAATATATAGTATTAACAATATAAAGAGTATAGCTATCTGCATATCCTATTTAAGGTAGGCACTACATCCATTAAACAGACATGGTGTGTGGTACAACAAAGAATATTAGGTACAGTATTAATAATAAATTACAGTCTAAACAGAGTGGGACAATCTTAAAGCTAAGGTACAATTATTTAACTAAAAATAGGTAAATACATTTCTTCATTTACTTAGTATTCTTATTAAGTTTTTAGACATTTATGATTGTATGATTAATAAAATTTAAAAGTATTGCAGTACTTGTAGGCAATTTAAATCTAGATTTTAAGGTAATAGGCTTCCGCGCCCATTTTGGGTCTTGGGTTTTCAATATGTTTGGACGTCAGAATTAAAAATAGTTTCTTAGCTTTCTTAATATCATGTTTGGAAGTCAGAGACTTCTGTCTAACCTACCTGAGTGTACGTCATCCAGCAGCACGGTTCCACCTGATTCGCATCTAGACCCCAGAACTCCAACTCCTCTTCAAAGAGTGGCCCGCATACGTCAGTGGGGTAGTGGAGCTTTCCAGTCCTATAACATAGAATTATTGTTGTAAATATTTAGAGAGTATAGGTATTAGTGGATGCTTAAATGGTGAAAGCAGTTATTATTTTGTAAGACTTTCTGCATCTGCAGCTGAATTGTAAAAATTAAAGAAGCGATAGTAAGAACTTTATTTGGTTTTTGGAAATAAATGTATTTTTCTTGTAAAACACAAAAAAAAATATCTACTTATTTATAGTAACATCGACAAGTGAAAAATAGTGTAATCCCGTTTACTCCCGTCGGGTATAACACATTTTTGTGTCTGTAACACGGTTCGGTTTTATTTATGGGCAAGTGGTTAAACGACTTCTGTGTTTCAATAAAAAAAAAATTCGCACAACTTAAATGTGCACAACACGCTAAAATATAAGAAGAAAATACTTAAATGATCCAAGACAATATACCAAGACAATCTATTGTTTCCACCGGGATTCGAATCCACGAATCTAGGACGTCTTGCGCTTAACGTCAAACTAAAAATAGATTAGAAATTGAAAAAAAATACGACTCGGGCAGGACTTGAACTGGCATCCACAATGTTCTGTCCTGTAGTTCTAATCGATTGTGCTACCGCGTCCTATTTATGAGTTTATATAGTACCAGCTTGTGCAATAACAAGTGAAAAATATTAATGTTATATTTCGCAGAGAAAAGTATAAAAAAACATTGCCACTCCATGCCTTATCTGAAAGACGCAAGACGATATTTAGTATACACTAGCCGGGCCAGCGACTTTGTCCGCGAGAATCGTAATTTTGGGCATCCAAATTAGTTTTTGCTAACCCCGTCATCTTTATAAACTTAAGCTGTCGACGACGTCGGTCGCGTCCCTCCCCGTCGTTCTTGCAAGTTAACCTTAACAGATAGACACGGTCTTTTTTTTGATAATTTAAAAAGGAATAATTCTTTCTTACCCATTTTTTAGGTATCTTAAACCGCTTTCGCAGCGTACGCATCTGAAACCCACAGAAATGAAAAATTTCCCCCGTTTTGTTCACATTTTCAGCTGTATCTTCGTCTCTATTAGCCACAGCGCGATGCTCTATAGCCTATCTCGATAAATCGATCGATCTAACACAAAAATAATTTTTCAATTCGAACCCATAGTTCCTGAGATTAGCGCATTCAAATAAACAAACAAACTCTTCAGCTTTATATATTAGTATAGAGATAGATATATAACAAACGAATGAGGGAACTCTTCAATTATAGTATTGAAATTAGAAAAACTTGAGAATTAATTAACCGAGAGCATTTCTAAGTCCAAGTTAATGGGTGGTTCCTTTCAATCTCGCCTCTTCCGTTTTTAATTTGAACGAATGATGGATCAAATTGCTTCCGAAGTTTGTTTTTAAAACAAATTAAAGATTAGAAAATTGCTTCTTTGAATATTTACGAGCGATATTAAACCGAAATATTGGATTACAAATACCATTGCTAGAATTAAACGTTAGGGTCCAGATAGGCCACTGAGGAATTGCCTATAAATATGAGCAAACGATTCGTTCCTCGTCCTGATTAGGAAAAATAGATAATACGTTATGGTACAACTTATATATATTTCTAACTGTTACACAACTTTGCACAACATGTGCAAAGAGGTTAAATGCTTATTAAACTTTTTTTATTATACAGGGGGACAGACACACATAGGATTTAGTTGATGGTACAGCCATACAAACAATATGAGTTATCGACCTATTTCGGCTTTAGATATTCAGAAATCTACAGACTGAAACCGAAATTTCATCTGTGGACGGTGATTCGTGTCCCGACAGAAAAATTATAAATTGGTCAGAAAATAGTTGGACTAGGTAGGGACCCACAACTCGTTGATTAGCCATAAATTACTATTATTACACCAGTCCGTCGAAATGTAAACAACAGTTAAAATTAAAGTAAAACCTCAAAAAAAAAATTATCATAATTTTTAATACTATTAGAGTTTACTGTAAGTTGTTTTGTGGTCGAATAATTTGCATATAAGTGTCATACTAACTCAGGACCATTTTGATAGTACAAACTTCGACGTAATCCCTTTAGGAACTGTTATTAATTTCTCTTCGTCAAGTTAACCTTAAAATTGTCACATAAATCAATAGTATGGCAGATTGATTAAGCCAGGGTTTGGGTTTGCTCACTCAGTTGGCCCTTGTCAATGAACTATGCGATTGGGATCAGTTATTGAGTTTAGTAGATTACCGTTACTAATTAATGACTACAGAAATTTTTATTTACCTTAAATCTATTTAAAAATAAAAATGACTTTTTAGTAACAGGCATGGATGGTCAAATGTATAAACGAGGCTGTCACATGTACATATAGTTTTTCTCTCAAATAAATAGTAAACTTCAGAACTTCAAAAACCAATGACGAAGTGTACGAACAACTAACAACAACAGTTTTTTGCGTGCCAAAGTATTTTGTTTTGTACTAAACGCCTGTCTGCAAACCAGTTAGAAATTTAAATAAAACCTTTGATTAAAATAAAACATTTTAACGGTTTAAAACGCGATATATTAGTATCTAGTATATCGCGTTTTAAACCGTTCAAGTGTTTTATTTAAATGTGTACTACTCGCGTAAACTATAGACAGCATTTAAACCTTTGATTAGTTACCTCTTTGGTAGCCATTTTTCGGAGTAGAATATTGTTCTATTTTTAAATTATACGATAAATATGATCTTATATAGAAGAAGGTTGTTAAAATAATGCTCAAACTTTTCCAGCACGTTTCAGGAAAAAATATTATCTGTAAGTTTATATTAAAATTATCTATGTTCCTGAGTTCTTGATAAGGATATGATTTTAGTGTCTTAAATTTTAGATAAAAAATTGGCTAACTACTAATAAAATCATAATTAAATTTCATTGATACCACTTGGCTTTATTAGAAAGCGCATTGCCTTGTATTATAAGTAGCCTTATAAGTAGCCGGGTTCGAAAGCCGGGGAAACAAATTGTTCTAGTCGGGCTGTGCCTGGAAGTCTGTAACTACTTGCTTTTAGATTCAATCGATTAGTGAATCGGACATAGTTATGTGTTCGCACCAAGCTTAACAGGCGAAACACACTTATTAAAATGTCATAAAACACATTACTTGTACTAAGATATTGGACAACTTGGGTGATGGCGAGTTTATATAACATACAGATATCTCTTAAAACTGGAAAAGGTACTAAAAACCTACGCTAGTAGAATTTGACTAAAATTACAATTCCCTTGAAGTAAATAAATTATTCAGTGGGCGCGATTTAAATAAACTACCTCGAAAGGATTTTGCATAAAGGCCCTTATTCGAGACATGTTGACCCCTTATCAAAATAAACGTGGAAACTCTGCATACATTTGTTCGGTCGTACTTACCTTTGTATAATGGGGCTTAGCTGGCCTTCAAAACTCGGTAACTATTGAAAGGTCTTAGTTGGACTTCCTTTTGTGTAAGTTTTGAATATGCTTTTATAACATTATACTTACTCTCTATAGAACGATTACCTATATAGTCACACAGGCTTAACATATGTTTTTTAAGTTACGGTAATATTTTATCAAACCGGCAGGACTCGAACCCACAATTACTGGGTTCTGTTATTTATTTAAATAAAAACTTTAACGGTTTAAAACGCGATATATTAGTTGAACTTATTTGAAAATGATCTTTAACTTCGGCCCGACGTTTTGGATGCTTTGCAGCAGCCGTGGTCACGGGGAGACTGTTATGTTTGCTCTAGCAATTGAATTGTGATGATTTGCTCGTATCAATACACTATCAAATGCAAATATCGCGCAAAGTAAAAGTATTATAATTTTATATAACCCAACACAATAGTTTTAACTTTTAACTTATTGATGTCCCAATTTTGGGCTCTAGTCTTTTATTGCAAACGAAATAGTTTTAAGAGCTTGAACTCATCACCCTACTCCTGTGAGGATGATGGGTGGGCTATAACTACTACCGCTACTTCATTTAGAGCTTAACCTGCTCTTCAACGCACAAGGCTAATTGTACCTCCCACTTTTCAACTTCCACCTACGAGACATAGCTCAGAAGCACTCCAAATAGCAAAGTAAGTTTTCCTAGAATTCGGCGAAACCGCCTGGTCTGCATGTGTATGTTATACAGTGCAATACACTGTATACTAGATAATGTTATATAGTTGATGTTTACCTGTAGTAGTTAAGCACTTGGGCGAAGACCCCCGGATGGCGATCAAAGAAGTACTCGTTAAGGACGGGGTCGTAGTTCGCCAGAGCCTCCGTCAGCCGAGACAGGCGCGTAGCCGGGATCTTCTTCAACGTAGCTTTGTAGGTCTCGTGGCGAATACCACCCACATTCAGTACCACGCGGTTCTCCGCGTCCATGTTCAGAAGGTTCATCTCTTTTAATAAACCATTACCATTAATAAACAATTAATTCGTCCTTTAGTTATAAAAATTGAAAGTTTGCATGTTTTTTAATTTACTGACAATATTTTTATAACACTTATAATTTGGCAACAGTAATTCCATACTGTATGTAGTTTACATATTTATGAAGTTATATTAGTTACTTAGTTCCTTTGCATAAGCCGTGGTCACGGGGTAGTATTTCGATTTTTATAATGGTATAAGTATTTCATTTCAATATCTAATTCCAAAAAAAGCTTAGTTCGAATATAATTGTAAAATATATATCTGTCTATCTTGATAAGGACTCACTTGCAACCTCTTCGGAACTTGCAAAGAACTGTTCTGTGAGACGCTATGGGGATCGGCTTTGACCGCGTCTCCACATTACCTCAATATACTCGTTCTCTGACCTGAACCTGACGTACGGTGGCATTGCTGTGTAATCACTGCTATCTGGAACGACAGAAAATGGATAATGTCAATATTTAGGGCGAAGGGAACTTTTTACTTGCAGTGCAAAAAACACACACATACACATGTTCACATGAAGGCACTATATAATTTAAAAATCGAAAATAAATTAAAAAAAATTTCGACTCGGGCAATTGGTAGAGCAACAGCACGGACCGCTGACGATGCCGGTTCAAGTCCTGCCCGAGTCGAAAATGTTTTCAATTTATTTTGGTTTTTTTAAATTAAGTAATAAAACTATTAAAATCTAAATTTATTAGTCAATTTACTTATACATAACACTTTTCTTACAGTTTCCAATACAAGAGAAAAATAACAAATTTCATAAGATAAATATGTCTGATGTGTGGCAATTCGCATTTGATTAGACCTGACTCTAAAACGTTTATATTTAAATTAAATTAAAACTCTGACGATAGTTATATATGTCTAGTAATTAACGCGGTGGAAATGTCTATACATCGGTGGAAAAGCCGTGAGTTCTAAGTAAACAGCGTATCTGGTTTAGATTTTAGTTCTTAAATTTCTAGTCTGTTCGCCTCTGTTTTAAAAACTGTGTCCGTACAATAAAATATTTTAAAGTTTGACATTATTATGTTTTTGAGTTCAGCATTGAATCTTTTTTTTTTGTGTTGAAAATACAGAAAAATGTCGTCCAGTTTGTATTTAGTTATTAAAGTTTTATTTCAATTGTACGCTTTTTAAGTTAGCCATGGGACTAACAACTCTAATTAACTTTAAATATATTTGACCTTGGCCTGAGCAGCCGTATGTTTGTCGTGTTTAACGATCGATTTGAAGAATTACAAGGTTTTATTGTTACATATTATTTCACGTGGAAAATGCGAGTTATTTTGTTCAACGAGGGAGAATTTGCAAACATTTACACAAGTAATGAATATAGATTTGCTTTGAGAGTTAGGGATACTCGCGACAGATATTATTGATTCTGAATATTATAAAGAAGCTTCGATTCTTCTTTGTAGCATAAAACAGACATATTTTGTTGCAACTTACTTATGTTTTTTCCGGGAATCGAATTCTAAATCAGAAACTGAATTAGAAGAAGAAAAATGTATCAATATATAATAATTGACTTTATAATCTGTTAATAAATGTAATGCAAGAACAGTACGTTAATTATATTAAATGAAATAAAGGCCAAATGATTTGAAACAAAGTTACGTATTAGTTAAAGCGAGTAGATCACACATTAACTAATATATTTCGCGTTTTAACACGTTTAAAGAGTTTTATTTAAATACGAAAACTATGTTATCACAATCATGCGCAAGAATTTCGTTAGTTTGGCCAACGGCGACTCTAAAAATAACTAGCACATAGCTTACAAGTAACAAATTTATTCTTAATGCTCTGTAAAAATAATTTTTCAAATACCACGCCCGTGACGAATATTTCACAGAAATTAAGCCATTTTCCGTGCAGTGGAGCAAAAACTTACTCGATTTCACTTCCAGGGAATAATTTAAACCTGAGTATATTTCAATTTATTGTGCCCGTGTTTGCTCGCGTAGCCAAATGTTAATAAGACCTCTCAAAAGGCACTTAATAAAAAAATCGTTTGATAAAACACTTGGAAGATTTATGAAAGAAGACAATGTTTTATACCGCCGTTAAGGTGGGCGGAAAGGTAACTTTGATTGTTACTTAGACCGGGAGTTTGATCTCAGGCGTTAAACATTGCAAGGCTATCACGCTACACTTTCAAATTATAGTATACAGTTTACCATAGAAATCCAGGTACAAATCACTGTACCTGGGTTAAAAATGCGTAATAATCCGAATTTCGGTATAGTCTACAGATTTCAAAATTACAAAGCCAAAATACGTCGACAACACATCTTGTCAACCTGTTCCGTATTTCGCCTGTGGAGTATTTCATCGCATGGACCCCAACCTTATGCCCCTTTGTATTTGGCATTTTAATTATTTAAACAATTCGGACGTCATAGAACAACAAACAGCTAACCCCCGCAAAAACTTTTCCATTAGTTAGATTATTAAAATTAAAAATCTAAATTTAATTTCGCAGATGACCTTTCCACGACCGTAGTTTACTCTCGCCAAATAAAAATAAAATGAAGATTCTTCCCCGAGAACATTCATTTCAAAGTCCACTGACTGAAATATTTAAAACGAAACAAAAGTTATTAAAGAAGACGCTCGTTAAAAACTTAGATAACTTGCCATGTTATAAAAAGTGTGCTGTCGGAGTTTGCATAGTCTGTTCAGGGTTGCTAGTTTGCGAAGTTAAACAGTGAGATTCCGAAAATTAATGTTGCCAACTCACAAGTTTCAAACTTATTTAGCCAATAATACAGTGTGTTTAGCTGAAACTATTTTCACGTTAAGTTTATACAATGTTTAGCACAAGGATAATTTTGAAATTAATGTTTGTACTATACTCACATTATGACGCCGACGAGTTTGTTCGCTTAGTCGAAACTCAGAACACACTCTCTCCTATTCAATCATTTTCTTTAGATTTTAAAATAATCATTTCATCTGTCTGTTTCAACTACTTGTCACATAAAAAAATCGAAACCCAAGTAATTTTCACGTGTTATTTGAAATTATGGCATTATGTAAATAAAAAAATTACGACGCGGGCGGGATTTGAACCGCCATGCACGACATTCCAGCGCTGCTAAGTATGACAAGCATTCAGCAGCATAGCTGAGACTGGTACCGATTGCCATCTCTTATATATATTTATTACTATATTATTATTATTTTTATGCACACCTATAGTTAAAGGTTTTTAAATATATTTTATGGCAATAAATGTTTTGAATTTGAATTTTCATGCCGCTGCTCTAACCTATTTGCCATCCATATAAACATAAAGAGCCTTCCTTGATGTACGAATTACTTAATAATGAAGTAAAATATTTAGAAAAGACTTGTATTAGTATGGGCTAAGACTTTAAAAATACGAACTTAATATGGAGGCTGTAGTTTACGGTAAAATAAAAAAAACTACATCCATGTGAATGGAAAAAAAACACTTTATCTCTTTTCCTAATAATTTTTTTGTACTCGTAATTTAAATTATCCAGGGATTTAAACGACAAACTTCCTGCAATTATTACAATGATTGTAACCGACGGATAGATATGAAAAATAACTTTATGAGTAAATATATATTAATGAAGCGAATAAGAAACAAATTCCTCTAATTACCTGAGCTTAGTTCCTATTAATAACGGCGGTAATTTATTATAATTATTACATTAAGTACGGTCACGAAACACCAATTTACATAAGCTTTCTCCGTCAAACTGCAATATACATAGAACGTATTTTAATTACATTATCGAGCTTGCTTACGGATATTAGTATTGTTTTGCCATTTTGTTATATTTTATATGTTAAAAGACAAAAAAGCACTTATAACACATAAATACGATTCACTGTCTACTTGTTTTGGCTTTGGAAATTCACAGACTAAAACTGAAACGCGAATAACCTTGACGGCGTTTTCATCTGTAGACGGTGGTTCACGACCTGGACAAAATTTTGATGTTCACACGAAGTCCTACATGATTTAGAATAAATTGATTAGAAAAATAGCGGTTAAACTCATCTCTTGGGTTAGCTTAGTAGAAAGTAGAAGAAATTAATATTTTAGACCTGGCCACGACAAAGTAATAAATTAATTGCCAGTAAATATATCTACTCATTTACTATGCATTTTTTATATTGTCTCTGAATGTATTATATAAATACGCAGTTAAATTAAAACAACACAAACGGTTTTAAACTCTATTACAGATACATTTCACAACAACTTGATGTATTGGCCATTACGCCATGTTTTTGCACACTATTAACGTTATGAACTAAATTACCAAAAATATAGGTTAATTTATTGCAATTAGTTGAAAATTGCTTTTGTTTGTAAAAACTTATGATGCCGGCAGGACTTCGCCAACTACCAACAACGACAACAGGTGAGTCATATTTTGTTTCTATCTACAATATATTTTTAAAATTAAATAAAGAACTAGCTGACCTTCGTATGGCAAAGGTTCTTTCGGTATACGAAGTATTTCGACCAAAATTTGATTACCACAAATACGGTTCTTGTGAGGTAATCTTAAAAGATAGATAAATAATGTTGTAGAAATTTTTAGATCATTTAAATAGGAACTATTCTTACATTTATAAATATTATGAGTGTATCTTGAACCGTTTTCGCAGCGCACGCAACAGTCATTCTCGAAGATGATTAATTTTCCCGGTTTTTCTACATTTCCCATTGTTCCTTCGCTGAAAAATGATCGAAGAGAGAGAGAAGATCGAGAGAATTTATAAATTCAAACAAGCAGTTTCGGAGATTAACGCGTTCTAACAAATAAACTCGTCAGATGTGTAATATTAGTAAAGGTATTTGTTAGACGTTAGATATAAAAGAAGAACAATTTTAAAGCAGTTTTGTACTACACTGCGATGGATGGACTTCCTAAATCTACGTGAAAGCTTTCATCAAAAATCTTTGCAAGTCTTTGTTTACCCTTTCCATAACAGTATCCCAAAGGCAAACAGCATATATTTGTCGTTCCGAAAGGCAATTCAATTTAGGGTCAAGGGCGTAGCATTGTTTATTTTATTACGGGCCCAGCTTTTCAGCCGAACCTCCCTCCGTTGTGAGCCCTTTCACGGTACATTGCCGGAAATTGGTGCTGCTCAAACAGCTTTAATATCGTGACGACTAAGCCGTTGGTTATCTACTATATTTAAAAAAAAATCGAACCCTTCGCAGACTCCACATTTTTAACAAGCTTACTTACAATTAACGGGTTTTTAAAAAGGGAATTTAATACTATTTCACCCCGCGGGGTTCGAGGAGAACATATAAACAAATTCAAATAATTGAAATCAAACCAAAGAATACATATACAGAAATTATACATTTATATAAGAAAATACAAAGAATTACAATTATCATATACACTTTTTTGTGACTGATCAGACTGTGCTTGACTGAAACAATCCATTGTTGCCCTGATATGAACCTAAAACCTCTCGCGCTCATGCAATGCTAAGCAATACGTTTGTCCATTTAGCTATAGAGGAGGGCAATGGGTTTGATTTCGGCTCATTAGAACAGGCTTGTATTAATTTTCAAAATTTTCTTGCTATAATTTAACTTGGCGATTTGAAAATGTGGTCATTAAAGTTGGTAGAAATACCGTACTGTTTAAATAAAAGGTAAAGGATATATTTGTAAAATTTTTGAAGTTGGCCCCCCCCTTTGGGTGTTTTTGCGGCGGGGGGGGGGGGGGGGGGGGGGGGAAATTTTTACTCGCGTAAACTATAGACAGTATTTAGTACGGTTCTGGTCACGAACCGTGTAGCCAACTTGTGTTCATTTAGCTTATTACCAAATATATAAAGCCAAAATGGAACAGCGCTGCTTCATTAGAATGGTCTTCAAATGAACCTTGTACCAAGTGTCCGTATGGCCTGGTAAAAAAGTTGCGAATTACATTTTACTACTTACGTTATTTAAATTTAATTTCGTTTCGAGTTCAGCGCTTTCAACGATGGAGGTTGAAATTTAAATAACGTAATTAATAATACGCTGCGTTTTAATTCTTTCCGGCTTTATTTCAACGTAGTAACACAGTTGGTAGTCAAACATTCATAGAAATGTAATTAACTATTTAAGAGTAAAATTTTAATTCCCATAATATGGACACATTTCTGTATGCCTAATCGATTTTAAATTTGAATTTAACTTAGCCTTTTTAACTGTATCTCTTTATTATGTTTCTCAAAGATTCGAACCCAAGACTCTTGCGATTACTGCAATTGATTTATCATTGAGAGTGGTTCATTAATTACTCGTTTTATATAGCTTATTTCCTATATAAAATTATTGTCACAGTATTAGTTATGGCACTCATCGGAAACGGCTGGACTGATTTTTTATCAAATTGGATATGCATATTTAATACGTTTGTACCTGTATTTAAAAGTAAATTATGGAAATTTTAAATTTTTAGATGGTAATTAACTAAGTCCTGCCCACGAAACGAAAATGAAATTGGAAAGAAACAAAAACTGTCTGTAGTTTACGCGAGTAGTACACATTGAAATAAAACACTTTAACTGTTTAAAACGCGATATATGTAAGTTAAACTTATTTGTATTTGAAACGTCAGGCCGTAGTTAAATAATTTTCAAATAAGTTTAACTAATGAATATCGTCTGTTAAACAGTCACCGTCATTTCTTGTATAAATTACATATATACGATTTTTTATAAATTTCGCCATCGTTTTGTAAATGTGAACGTGGCGAAGAACTTTGGCAATTATTAAATCCACCATAATCCTTGTAAGCGCCACATGAATATTCTCTTCAAATACATTATTACCCCATCGAGTGTTCTTTGTAAGAATAACATATTCAAATTTCCCAATTACAGCGGCCATTAAAACGGCGGCTGTCATCATACGTTTTCATTTGGAGCGTTCAAGATATTTTAAATAAAGCCTCATTTTTCAGGCTTACACTAAATGCAGGTCGCTTTGTATTTGTGAATGTTTTTGTGGGCTTAGACAAAGACATGTAATTTTTGATAGTCATACAAGTAAATACGATTGTTACTAACGTGGAATTTTAATAACAATTTTTTTTTATGTCAAGTGTCAGTTTTGCGGAAGATTGAGAAAAAGATTAAATTAAAAAGATTAAAGAATAAATATTTAAATTAATTCAAGATACACCTTAGTTGATGCTCGGAGGTTTAACAATCTTAAAGACGAAATAATTAAAATTTACCGCCGTAGTCACTGACCCCTCGTGACCACGGCTGCTGCAAAACATTATTACAGATTAAAGATAATACTTTAAACTTTAAAGTCACGAACCGTTGTACAGTAGTTAAAATATATTGTAAATAATGTCTCTA